ACTTAGCTTCAAAACAAGATGTTTATTTGCTTATCAATCAATCAATCAATCAATTAATCAATCAATCAATCGAACTATCAATCAATCAATCAAATTATCAAACAACCAAATAATCTTTCATTGATTTTTTTCCGCCCCTAACCCCACCCCCACCAAAACGTTTAGAGTTATTATTAATTTTTAGGTTTTTACTGTACAACAACGAGCCAGGTAACACCGATCGGAACGGGTCTCATGATAGGTTGAGAAAACAATGGACAAACAATAGATAAGTCTTCCAACAATATAACAAAACCTAACCTAACAATAGTGGTGCTGTACTTAAGGAGCAATCAAAAAGCAGGTTTCAATTGGTACTGCATTACTGACAACAACCGCATCTAGTCAATAGGACAAGCATATACCTCGTGAATTCGTATTTGAATTTCATGGTGACGTTCTTCTCCCCCAACAAATCATGCATCATCAACTGTCTCGATGGTGGACTGATTTGCCAGATTGAACTGGAATTGCCAGTGATCTTTACCAGCTCAACGGTACTCCGCTCGCGATAATCACGCAAAAATGTGTCAACTAGCTGAAAATACAATGTAGAAAGATGTCCGTGAATTTGAGGTAAATTGAGCTATAAATTAGAGAGTAGTTTACAGCGTGTTCACACATTTCTCTCCGCTCATAACCATCTCCATCACATATATTTACAATTATACCAAGAAAGTTGTGCCATGATCGTTGTTTACCTGTTTTTCTTGTGATTTTCCAGTGTTCTGTTTCTTTATCTTGTCGATTTGACTGTCGTTCAGCTGTTGYAAGAACTGTTCTTGTGCACTTACTCGAAACAAAGGCTGGGAAATAAAAGAAAGGGTGAATGAGAAATGAAAAAAAGGGAAGTCAACCAGTGATGAACAATCAGAAAAACTTGTGTAGAAAAGGTAGGGGGTTAGAGGGTGGAATGGAATGTGGTGATCAGGGGGCCAGTAGCTTGGTGCAAGGATGCGCAATCTCACTAGCCTGCTAACAGGCATTCCTGCTGGGGTGTTCCTCCCCTTTCCTTCTCGGACCCACAGCAGGAACGCCTCTTAGCAGGATACGCCCTCTCTTGAGACCTTGCATACTGCAATACTATTCCTTTACCGCTCCTGGCACCAAATGTAAGCCCTTCGATATAGTAATCAATTCAAAATCAAACGGAGAGTGGAGGTGCGTTGAAATCTTCGCTTCCAGGGAAGGGAGGTTGCGTACCAAACATCCATCACTCGATTAAAAATAAACGATTCATCCAGTGGTGGATTCATATTAGGGACGAAGGGGGGCAGGTTGGGGTGAATTTTGCAGTTAAGGAGGGTAGGGTGAGTACCTGATATCCACCKATCGTTAAAGTAAACGTTGCGTCCTGGGGCGGATTCTCGGTGTAGTTGGAGTTAATGTACGACATTAAAAGTAACGGAAACCAAATAACTAAGACAAGTAAACCAATCAAAAGACCACCAAGAAGACATTTACTGCTCAGCCAGTATTTCTTGCCACGAGCTTGGAACCACGTCTAAAACAAAACACGATATTACCCAATATTAGGGACTTTATTACCATAACTCGAAAACTTTTTTCTTCTAAATGTATTTGCAGCCATAGTTATCTTTGTATAATACTCCAGTTTAGAATTCTCTTTTGTGCAAGCTTAGATTCAACCAAGCAGAAATTTTTATTGTCTTTTTTTGTACACAGAGCTTTTGCATTGCAATAGGATCTCTGCTGAATGAAAGAATATATTACATGCTTTCGAGGTTAAGGCTGCACAAATAAGATCTCGAAACTGGAGTATTTGATTTACACCGAATAACAAAGATCGAGGGCAGTTTTTCACTTGAAAGACGAAGAAAAGGTAGTTTTTTTCGCTCTATTTTCGCTAGCACAAAACAGATCGTGACCTGTCAATCAAACTGGACCAGCCAATCAGACCGTGAGCTTTTTAACAATACCAACCAAACCAATAAAATGAAACAGTTTTTCCAACAGACAAAAAATATTAGTCACCTTTTCTGATTCTCGATAGCATTTCAGTACGTAAATATTGGCATAGATGTCCTCCATCTTGAGCCAGTGGTAAAGGCTCAGTGTCGTATCGGTACACGCCCAGTCGAGGACACTACGTAATTCYAGCAGGAACGGGATAGCCTGGAACCTAATCATGATAAYATCTTAGTTATGGTAAAATGAGTTGCAGGGCACGATTGTCGTGTAAGACTTGTTGTATACGACTCAATCGCGCCGTGTAAAGACCGGATTAGACTGCACAACTTTTGCCTACCACCATCGCATGCAACCTGCGTAAGTCATTCTTACAAAATGGTTACAACTGTCGTGGGGATTTAAAACAATTGCTGAATAGCCTCACGACAGTTGTAGCCATGTTATAAGGATGACTTATGCAGGTTGGCACAATGGACGGCACATATCCTAGAAGGCGAGGTTCCGTGACCGTGCCGTGTCGTGTCCGTGTTGTGATCCGTGCACAGTCATACGAAGTCCGCTCTAAATATCAACCAATCAAGTGTTGTTTTACTAACCCCTGGAAAAGCACACCGCTGGTCAGTGAATAGCTCTTAGTCAAGAAGTTTCCCAGAATTCTTGTCGGGTATCCACATCGAATCTGATAGGCTGACAGGCCAAAGTACAGACACATGAAGATGTACATGAAAATGGCGGGAATATTCATGTAAAACGGTCTGAGAAAGACGGAAAGAATCGTTACAATGCAAACACCAAAAGCGTGAAATAGCACTAAAGTGAAGTCCAAAAACCAGTGAAATAGATATTGCATTAATACACCTTACTCCGCTCTAATTGCAATGTTTTCTTTTGTGTCTATTTGACTATCACACATTGAGAGTCAATTTTTGTTTCACGGGTTTGATGCCTTCACTCTGAACAAACATCTAAAACGTTGTGACGTAAAACACATTCTTTACAGTGATTGGCTAACCTTTTTGTGACGTAAGGAACAATGATGAACATAAACACGTGGAATCCAACAACGAGGAATAACAAGTAGAACAGCTTCGCAAACACGTACTTCCTCAAATATAAACATCTAAAACAACAAAGAAAATAATCAATAATGTGAATGAATATTTCCAAATATGACGTTTCTATGACGTGTTTGCCTAATCGCAGTTTCCAAGAGTAACAGACATAGGACTACGTCACTGGCATTAGACTACGTCACTGGCATTAGACTACGTCACTGGCATTAGACTACGTCACTGGCATTAGACTACGTCACTGGCATTAGATGGTACCTATCAATGATGATGAGAAAGAACTGTGTCAGCAACATGTACAGGAACGTTTTGGGGACCTAAACAAAGAAGAAGATGTGAGAATCACGAAGCCATGTGGGACAGCCGTGAAAATCATATTAGCTTAGCATACGTGATAACTAAATCCCGAGTTTTCGTTAACAGTTTTCGAAACAGTTTGAAGGAACGACTCCTCACTGGGTTAGACCTACTTACCACATTTTCCTCGACGATCTTGACAAACTGTGCTTGTCTTAAAGGCTGAGATAATAAACGAATTAAAACAAGCTTAAATTATACTTCACATAATTCTTTTCGTCTATTCATTT